TCAGCACTCCTGTGACTTTTCTTAGCAATCTTACCACATATCCCTTACTGGCCGATAACCCACAGACTTTGTTTCCTCAACAAAGCAAAATTTTTCCTTTTTTTAGAGAAAACAAAAATAGCCTTCAATGAAGAAGACGATGTTCCAATAGTGTGTACGACTTCAAGCCAACAATGACGCATATTTTAAAAATTTTCTTTTGGTGAGGATGCGGTCAATTTCACTCTGATACTTTGCACTGGGGAGTTCCGTCACAATAATAGCCTCACAAAGACTATTACCCCACTCGTCCCATTCGAGTTCATACGTTTGTATTAATTCAGTAAGACAGTTTCCTAATAATAGTCGTACCGTTAAAATGGCCATTGATTGTCTTGTAGGATAAAGGATAAAGGATAAAGTTCTCGGCGTTGATTAATCCCTGAGGGATGCGCCATGCATTCGACTTCATTACTCCTCATTGGAGGTGATTGAATGCATATCTGGCCTTTACGATGATTCGTGGTGGCCTACCGATGTATCGAGCCAATGCTGCTATCCTCCCAGACAAGTCTGGTACGAATTTGCCGACCCCGGAGGAATGAAAGGCTAGGTGAGCCAGGGGCAAAGGGATGGATTCCGCGTGTGTGTGTTGCGGGGCGCCTCCAACCACTGCGCCACACGCGCGTCTTGTAGGAGGTGCAGTTTTATCCAATGACCTTTCACATATAAGATTTCTCGACCTTATCTGAGTCGAGAAATTAGCAATAGGAACTGTTAAAGTCAGTAGTTAGATGCATGTTTTTCACCTTAAACTTTGGTTCGAGTGGTTCATGCTTCAATGGATTCAATATTAATGGCAGTGTTGTGGTAGTAATAAATTTTCATAGTATTTTCTAGAAATCTGCTCACATTACAAACGTTTAAGGAATTTAGTAGATTCTTACTATCCTGTCTTACTATAGCATAGATAAAACGCCGATTTTTGTTGTTTATTTGATCTCTTTTAAAAATGGGCATCGTTGCCTCCACCAGGATCGATAAAGTAACACCCATTGTTCTTTTCGTGTTCAGCAAGAGAGTACCTCTGACTACCTCGCTAAGCTCTGTAGGAACTGTAAATGATTAAGACAAGTTGTCCAACTGTTCCAGAGATGATGTGGCGGCTTTTTATTGTACTGAATCCCGAATCCTACGTTTATACCATCCAATCAATTCGTATCAGCTTTCTGATTAATGTACGTACAGGAAACAATTTATGGAATCGCCAGCGATTTATTAAAGAAAATTTTAGAAAAATGTTACGTCTTACATACGAAAGGCTTAAGTCAATCAAATTCTAAAGCCTTTACGAACGAGTTACATGTTCGAGACCACTTCCGGTGAAAGGTACAAATAACCTATAGCATAGATAAAACGCGATTTTTGTTGTTTATTTGATCTCTTTTAATTCCACTTTCTCATCTTTTCAAAAGCAGGTTGAATATCTATAAAAAAGTTGTAGGTTTGGAGATATTCGTCTCGCCAATAAGACCAACAATGTAACATCCAAGTTTGATTCAACTTCAAGAAACCTAGACAGCTTCACCGCTAGAAGTCTTTGTTCATCAGTTTCTAATTAGTTCATCTAAGTTGAAACGACAACGGAAAAAATGTTCGCAGTCAATGTATTCCTTAGGGATGCGCCATGTATTCGACTTCATTAAGCATAGCAGCGATGACGAATAGATGAATATTCGCCGTGTAGATGGACTTGTGGGGACTACCGATGTCTCAAGCCAGCCGCTAATCTCCTAGGACAAATGTGGTTTGCAAATCAAACCAATTTGCCCACCGCAGTGGAATGGAAAAATTGACGAGCTTATGGAGTGTATAATCGAACCAATAACCACATGTTTGTTGCAAGGCACCTCTAACCACTGCGTTATACACCAAATCTGAATGAGATGTGGAAATACGAAGGCTTCAGAATGGCTGATGAAGAGGTATAGGCGTTAGGTAATCATAATCAACAAATTGGGTCTTCTGTTAATAAGACAAATATCATCGTTACTTTTGTGGATCGTCCCTACTACACTTTTTCCTTAGTTACTCACATGCCCTGATGAACGACTAGAACGTCGGATTACTTTCTTCCGACAACCGAAAGTAGTAGTGACATCACTTCTGAAGGAGCAAACTTTTAAATTTAGCAATGACTGATGAGAAAGCATAAATCATGATGTTTCTGACATTCCCACGGGATTGAATACCAGTCAGCAGTGGGGCGCCATTCCTCAAAAGAATGAAAAACATGCTCACTCGATGACGTTGCGCTGGGATTCCAGTGTTCCATGTGACTTACTACGTCAGATGGGATGTACCTTTACATGTGAGTATGTTGAGTTAAAAACTACAAGTTCAGGTTTCCATCTAGCTTAATAGGTCAAGGGAAAAAACAGATATTAGGAAAGCATCAGGTCAGTGCAAAGAGCACGTGTGGCACAGTCGTCGGAGGCACCCTGCAACACACGCGTGGAATCGATCCTCGCGCCCAAGGTCCACCAAGCCTTCTATCCCTCCTGGGTCGGCAAATTGGTGCCAGACTTGTTTGGGAGGATGGCAGCACTTTACCAATACATAGTCAGTCCACTGCGAGTAGTTGCAAAGGCCAGGTATGCATTCAAATCACTTCCAAACGATGCTTAATGAGGTCGAATGAATGGCGCGTCCCTCAGGGATTGATGAACGCCGAGAGCTTTATCCTTTTATCTCTTTATTAGGCCAGTTTGAAATATAGGATGCGTCTCTAGAATTAGGCTCTTGTCTTTCGTATCACTGGTTGTGGAAATTGAAACCATCACTTTACTAAATTTACGTTCAGTATTGAATGCTGGAGCACTATAAAGAATGCGTGATAATGCGTCTAGCGTTAGTAAATCGTTAAGAGATGTGCCATGTATCCGACTTCATTAGTTGTGTCGTAGAGGTGGTTGAATTCATATTTTACCCACAACAGTCACTTTTGGAAGCCCTTATGTTTTTATCACCTCATCAACCTCAGTCTTTATGTCTGGTAACAATTTGCTGATTCCGAGAGGATGGTGGTTATGTTTGGATCAGAGCAAGAATCGAACCACTTTGGCTGCTGGCACTTTGCAGAGCACCTCCAACCATTGCGCTATATGTGGCAGTACATCCTGACTGCCGTACAAATTGAGATTCAGTAGAAACTTACGACGCTGGAAACTCGAACAGTCTCGTGTTTTGCTCTCAATTTAGCGTGAATGTCACCTATGCCGAGCGATAATTTTTTGTGCTTAGCATCCATTTTTCCCTATTTCGTTGTAAAATGAAATATCAATAACTTATCCAATGAATCAAGACATTTTAAAAACGAGGTTTTGAACAAAGGAACGATGAGAAGAGGGCCACCCTAGATGTAAGTTAATAGAAAGACTTTAGAAAGTCATCTTAAGTAGGATGGATGAATAGTTTGTCAACGATCTGGCAGACAAACCCCAAAAATCGTTAGGCCACCATTCAGTGCTGTTTGTTTGAAATTTTGAAGAGCGTTGATTGCTGTATGTCAATTGGGGTTAGAGTGATGGCATGATGTTGACATCTAGTTCCTGCTTGCTTTTATGTAGGAAACAACAATTTTGTTAGGATTGACATGTGATGTACGACAAATAATTGGCCTACACAGCGATCGAGCATGGCTCCAATCATTCCGAAAGAGAAGAAGAAGGTTAGAAGGAATTCAGCTCTCAGTCAAGATGGCCAGCGCTTATGTCTTGTCTAAATGTCTTCAAGAGAAGGAATAAGCATCATCGAAGGTTACAACTTTAACTAGTAAATTGAGGCGAGGTGATACCATTGTTGTGTAAGCAGCTTTAAAAAAGAACGACTTAAAAACAATTTGTAGTTATGTGAAATACAACCACGATAGTGCTAAAATATGAATGTGGAACAAAATATGTTCCATATTTTAACTTATTATTTACTGCCTACTCTTTTTAACGGCAGGGTATACATTATGAAATATAACTTCAATGGTGCTGAGATATTTGCAAAACTCCGGACCGCCGGTGTATGCGATGGGGAACGAACGCCCTATTGTCCTTTCTGGGGCTACCCGTTCACCATCATACCATGCGGATGCTTTCTTTCGCGTGTCTCCCAGTTAGTTTTAAAGGCGTTAGTTTCTTCTGGAGTGAATCGAGAAAACTGACGGCACACCTTCATACACCTCAAAGTCTTACTAATCTCGATTGCTACTTACAGAATTTATGAAAACCAGTGTTTCTGACTAGTCGAGGTTTACACTCTGAACAACTCAAGATAAAAGTATTTGTTCAAAAATTCACAAGTTTAAAAACATCTTCTGAATCACTAAGAGTACGGCACTGGCAAAATATTAGCCTAGGGTAGGACATTCTTTACTTAATTGCCTACAGATTTCAGAATGACAATAAAATATTAATCTTAGACGATTAGCACTGAAAGGATTTACTTCATTAGCGTACATAATGTATTTAATCGCACATAGTGGAATACAATGAAAGAGCAATGGTGCCGAGATTCTCAGCACTCGTGAGACCGAGATTTGGCTACTGAGCTACAGCGTCCACTGAGAATTCTTGGCATTCTGGGACAGCTATCTACGTCAGTAAACACTGTGCAAGAATACTACATATGGCAAATGGAGACCGTGAATACGCCTCCCAAATCTGAAGAGATTGCGCTTGGGAGTGATACTAGTCTATCGCATCGCTTCAGAGCTAGATACATAAAAAGCTCACCTAGAATAGAAACACGGTATAAATATAGGAATGCAATTAGTAATCAGAAATTAAAAAGCAGCATTATGGACCATATACCTATAGTAGCACTCGAGTGCAAGATGAATCTGTGCGCTCAAAAAATGTACGTTTATATCTTTCATGATATTATTAGTGTCGGAGACGAGACAGCTGTGGCATGCAGGCCCTGTCTGGAACAGTACGAGGTACGCGTAGCATAGTATGTATAGTTAGTGCCTATTTAGCTGCGGTGACAGCGACGGAAGGATTTACTGTTCTGGATTTCAGCTCACCGTCTTCCAGAACCTAGAAAGAAGAATTTTAAAAAACCGGCACTACGTAGTAGATAGTGGAAGGCCAGCAGTACCTCGATCACCTCCTCGCCGTCGTTCTCTGTTCGTTTCGTGACCACCTTTTTGCCGTCGACTATCTTAGTTGTAGTGGACGTTTTCCGAACTGTAGCATTCTTACCTGGCTCCGATGAAGAAGAAAAGCGGATCACAGTCGAGAAATGACTGTAATAAGGTATCCTCGGACAAAGTAAAAATATAGAGGGATTTATGGATGAATACAAAGCTCAAAGGATAAGGAACTCTTTTATAAACTGTAAACGTACCAATCGTCATCGCTCTTTGTTTTATCGTCATCGTAAAAGATATGCACACGACTAGAAGGAAATTTATGCTCTAAAACACAAAAACAGAGTAGGTGAAAGAGGAAAGGCGAATGATATATTACACGAAACTACAGTATCCTCATCTTTAAAAACATTATTAAGCCATATTTCAAGACAAAGAAGATATTACAAGTGTCATTGACATAAAAAGTGGAAAACACTGAAGAGTTCCCCCTTCTGTTGACGGGTAATTGCTGATACTATCGTTAGGGTAAAAAAAACTGGATGAGAGAAGGGCCTCGGTGGTGCAGTGGGTAACACATTAGCCTCCTGAAAGGATAATCGCCACTTCCAAACTGGACTGGGATTTTGGGTTTTGCGAATATCACGGCATCATTGTGGTTGTATTTCACAAAATGCCGCGCTATGGAAACATAATAGGTACTAAATAAAAAAATAAAGACTGAAGAGTTTTCGTCTGCCTCATATTCACTACATATTCGAAAGTTTTATTACGCAAATCTATTGGAGCAACTTTTCAATCAACTAAGTTACAAGCGATGTGAGACTAAAACCTTTGTTCCGCTTCTTTTTATAAAGGAATTTCTCCGTACTAACTATATTAGTGACGTATAATTGACCTTCTATTCAACTGCCTGATGTTGGGCATTACATTTGCAAAGGTGTGCGTCTAACCGTAGATGGATATGTCTAGCGGAGGGTTAAATACAACTGAAAAACCCGAAGAAACGTCTATGAATGTTTTTTTTGCGAGTCGATTAGAAAGGGCACGATAAAGGTCTGTCTACACAGTAGCTCGTCAAAAATTCTCCCTGAGCTGATAAGCCTTGACTCGATCAACACCATTACCACCATCATCACCACTAATCGCCCGTCACACCACCGACAGACCTGCCAGAGTAATCCAGTAAGTTAAGCAAATAGCTGGCACTGAGAGAGCGCTAGCAACTATGATTTGTTATGGCAACGCAACCGGTTCAGGTAAACCAGGCACACGACACTGATCAGCTATCGATAATGTATGTAATGATTATGCTCAATAAAAACATAGTGATCAGAATCTTAACTCTTTTATTTACTGCCTTTTTCTTCTTAATGGCAGGGTATTTTGTGAAATATAACTCGTATGAAGTGCTGAGATATTGGTGTAGTGGGTCAAAACCGGGTCAAAACCGGATGGTGTAGTGGTGAAGTGCGCTGCTCCCCGGTAAGGACAACAGCGCGTGTTCGTTCCCCACTGCATACACCTGTGGTCCGGAGTTTTGCAAATATCTCAGCACTTCATACGAGTTATAGTGGTCAGAATAAGCTGAATAACGTGATTTTAATTTGTGTGTGGAGTACTTTTAATCCTTGTGAGCTTCGGAGAGGTTATGCAGATGATTCGCCACTGCAATGTCAATTCGTCCTGATAGTTAAAAGCTGTCAACCTGCTGATTGCCTGGCAACAAACTTTAGTACAAACACCATACCCATATCGTGGTTTGGACGTTTTTCCAGCATCTTTATCGTTTATGAGTATGGGTTTGCGCTAAACCTCCGTCTTCTAGCATTTATAGCTATTCCCTGTCACATTACTCATTCTTAAGGCGGTCCTCATAGAACTACCATATGTATACGACCATAGAGGAATGAACGTCGGTGAACGAGTTTCACAATATAAGTGAATTTCAGACTAGCTCCAACAACTTCGAACTAGAGTTTCAAAGAAGGGTTAGGAGAAGAAAGGTATCGTTTGAAAAAATCGCACGTACTCTTGTCAGAAGAGCAGGAGTTTAATGCAGTAAGACTAGAACAGAAAAACTGCTAATAACACAGCGAAAATTAATCACTCCAGCCGTCACATGTTAATAAATCAGAAAAAGTAGCTTTGTTGTTTTACAGAGGATTAGACGCTTCCAGAGTTTCTAGAAGCCTTGATCTTGCATCGGCATGCGGATAAATGTAGTGAATCGTAAAAATCAAAATTAAAAACGTGAGTAGAAGAAAGTGTGTGATGTCAGTCTGTGCAGTTTTCAGGGAATTGTTGTCAAAAACTAGATTTCCATAGAAACTTCAAGGTTTTGAGGAGTCATGGTTTGAATCCACAAGCTTGAGTCGCCAGTCATTCGCGTACTTTAAGAGGTAAACGACAATGTTCGGTCTATTCAATGAAGAAGACGAATGTGGCGATCTCTATGTCGACATAAGAAGAAAAAGAAGAAAGAAGAAGAAAAAGAAGAAGACCACTAGAGGCTTGGCAATAGGACAACGACTGGCACCAAGCCTTGCCATTGCATTCATGTCTAAGAAGGAAGCACCAGTAATCGACCTCAAGCGTTCCTCTACTGTAGATATTTAGATGACTTCATGGTCATTTGTTCAACACAAGAGAAAATTGACAGCTGTTTCGAGTTGTTAAACGAACAGTCAGAGTATATTAAATTTACCCGAGAGAAACTAAAAGAAAACTGGCTTCCATTTCTGAACGTACAAATTAACCTGTCAGAAGACGGCTAAATTACGAAACAGTATCGAACGCCAAGTAGTAAAAACATCTTGGTTAATTACCTCTCTTCTCACACCTCTCACACGAAAAGGGCGCTTGTAAGAAACATGTTTCGAACAGTAACCAACGTCAGCACGGGCAAAGAGCAGAGAGAAGAGTCCCGGAGCATGGCACGGCAAATAGCCATTTCTAATGGCTACGAAACTGTAGCTCGAAATCGGGATAGGTGTAGAGAAAATCCTAGGCTTCCAAACGACAACTCTAGCGATGAAAAGGTCCCGTTTATCTTAGCCTTCATCTCAAATGATGTAAGTGCAGCTATAAAACGCGGCTTAAGAAGGGCGGTTCTAGAGAATTCGGTAAACGCAGTTGAAATACCGCCAAGTACTCCTAGGCGCCAGCTAGTTTGTAACCGCTTATATGATTGTCTATGTACAACGCAAAATTGCATAATTTGTTCTAATGGGGTAGAGATGGTGATTGCACGAGCTCGGGTATAGTTTATCTGATCTCCTGCAAGGCGTGCGGAGACGAATACATTGGCGAAACGGGTAGACCACTGTGCTTCCGAATAAAAAAACACTTAGTCGGCAAACGTAAACCAAATACCTCACTGGGCACGCATAGGACTCAGAGACATCACGGGGAGGACTTTGATGTACGGGTTACGATCCTCGTACAGGAATCGGGAACACAAGCGCGCAAAACTCTCGAGCCGTTCTGGATTAATTCCAGAAATGCGAAAATGAACCGCCGGGAAGAATACCTCATTATCACGTGTAATATTGGGCAGTATATAAGCCTGTTATTTTGATTGGACAGGCACTTTACGCTTCCACGTGAATTCTGTGCGGTTGGTCTCCACGCGACATACTCAGTGGAAGACTCGTAGAAAGTGGTGAGTATGCAAAGAAACTATTCTTTGTTCAATGTGATTGAAATCTTGGTTTAGCGTTTTCTCTGTTTGGTTATGGAGGTGGTTGGCCGAATAGATTGCTGTCAACTTGACTTTTCCAGGCTCTGAGGAAGGCGAAATCCGCCGAAACGTCAGCTTGTTCGTGAATTAAAGAATAAAATAACACCTCGCGTTTGCTCAACAAGAATACGAAGAAGACCGCGAGTCTCCTCGAGTTTTAATCCAATTACGTTGGAACAGATCTCTTTGCAGGTTTTTCTTTGAAGTTCCTTTCTAACGTTCAAATACGCGGCAAGAAATTCGGAAACAATTTATAAAAGGTCCTCATAAAAATCGTAGATTAGCAACCCTCTCTTTCTGGTAGATGGTCCAGCACTTGTGCAAAAGATGGAATACTGTCCTTGATCATAGCGGTTAGCATACCGTTGACTAAAGTAATGTCATAACTTAATTAATGGATAAAATCTATGATGAATATACTGCCCAAATTTCTACCCAATCGTATGAATTCTTAGGGTTAGAAACAAAAGGTTAACTCACTTTTAAAGATGAATGAATCTGACGGGAATGTGAATGCATCATCGAAGAATATGTCCTAAAAAGTAACGATTACGTATTATTTCAAACTGTACTCCTAATTTGCCTCTTATTTCGCAAATTTGCTGCCAACGATCTTAACCTCTTCGTTGTTACAAGGCATTGATCAACTTAAACAAGACATACAACGATGTTTGAGTTCAATTTTTAATTAGCTCGTTGAGTTCACATATTGTGAGCTTCGGTCCCGCAGATTTAAACTCTAAAGATTTGCTCGTAGTAGGTTCCATAGATGGATAACTCAATGTTCCGCATCTCTTAGACAAACCTGGGAACTGGCCGACCCGGGGAAGGCTGAAAACTTGTTTGGTCTAGCGGCACTGCTAAAACTACTGACCAATAACGTCCTTTCTATCTCCATAGTAATTGATTCACCCAACTGACTGATGACCAACCGACCGCTTAAACAAAGTGGAAAATACATTACGAAATTCTCCAAATATTAAACCAGTGGCGCGTATGGCGCAGTGGTCGAAGGCGCCCTGCAACACACACGTAGAATCAAACCTCGCCCTCATGGCGCACCAAGCCTTGTTTCCCTTGGCAAATTGGTGCGAGACTTGTCTAAGAGGATAGCAGCACTGGGTCGATACATCGGTAGTCCACTGCCAGTGCGAGTCATTGTAAAGGCCATATAAGCATTCAATCGCCTCCAAACGATACTTAATGAAGTCGAATGCATTGCGCATCCCTCAGAGATTGATCAACGTCGAGATGTTTTTCACTTTATCTTTTTTATTAAAGTATATAATAAGTCATCATAAACTACCAAGATCGTTGCATTGTTAATAGCATGAAAACAGCGATATCTTCTAGCATGCCAAGAACTAGAAACATATTATCTCTTCTTCCATAAGCTGCAGTCTTTGATTGGCTTTCAATTCTCCTTGCTTCATTTCTATTGGAATGGAAAAACTGTAAAGTCTAACTAGGAAATATTTATTTATGTGTTCTTATAAACTGATCTTCTTAAGCTGACGCGAGGTTGGTACAAAAACAACGACAACGACAACGAAAATCTGCACCAACCTCGCGTCAGCTTAGAAGATCAGTTTATAAGATCACATTAATAAATATATCAACTATCTATGCCGAGGTTTATAGAAAGTCGGTCTTTCGAGTTATTAAGAGATGTTCTAACTAGGAAAATTTCAAACTGTTTACATGTTGAAGAAATGAAAGGGTTGAAACATATAGTGTTCAATCACTAACGACACGCATTCGATTTCATTAGACATCGTAGAGGTGATCTTGAATATCCGGCCTAAACAATCAGTACTGGAATCCTCCCGATGTA